ATCTCAAGTAAAATTGTTTTAGCATTGTTGTGTTCAGTCTCATTTCCAATCCCTGCCTGTAATCAATGAAAAAAATTATCAAAAAAATTATTCATTTAATTTAGTTAAATAAAAAGAAAAGAAGAAAAAAGACAGGTACTGTATGCAAAACTCACCATGTACATGGCTGCAGCCACAGGGAGATAAAAGGAGTAGAATGCGGTTTTGTATTTCACAATGGCTTTGTACCTGAAGCAAATACACTGTAAATCAGTCAACGATAGTGAATTGGCAAATAATATTTCGTTTTGTCAGGTTTCATGCCATTTAAGTTGTCTGACCCTTATAGACACCCTCTCACCTCTCCATGGTGAAGCGATCAAGGTCAATTTTGTGTGGAGGTGCTGTCATCAGATCTAGAGCTTGACCCAGCTCTGTCTGGAAAGAAGTCTTGAAAAGAAAAATCAGGTTTTAGACTGCCAACATACAGTATGTCAGTATCTACAGGGTCGGCGCCAGAGCGCACAAACTGAAATTTTCAGATGCAACGGGGGAAAAAACGGGATAAACACAAACATGAAACTTGTAAATAAAATAATCTGATATATAGCCAATTTATTTGATTTAGATATTTCTATTTTGCGGAATCCTGTGAATCATTTTATTCTCCCGCATCCCGCACACACACGAGTGTCTACACGCCCGCACCAGCACTCGTCCATCTTGTCCCGCTCTGTTGCGTCGGGTCTCGCGGGAGCAGGTCTCTAATCCACTGGCACTTGACTCGACAGTGCGTGTGCTACATCCTTTTTACAATCTCTAGATTATAAAACACTGCATTCTTTAATCGTTTATATTTTATATTAGTTCATGTTGCTTTTATGCAATAGATGAATAACAATTTATTTGATTTAGATATTTCTATTTTGCGGAATCCTGTGAATCATTTTATTCTCCCGCATCCCGCACACACACGAGTGTCTACACGCCCGCACCAGCACTCGTCCATCTTGTCCCGCTCTGTTGCGTCGGGTCTCGCGGGAGCAGGTCTCTAATCCACCGGCACTTGCCTCGACAGTGTGTGTGCAACATCCTTTTTACAATCTCTAGATTATAAAACACTGTACTCTGTCAGCAATGTAATGCGGCAATAACGTATAGAGACCTCGGCTTGTAACTGTACTCCAATTACTATTTTGAAAATTATAACGCGTTAAATTACTCAGTTACTAAAAAAGGAATCAAATTACGCGTTACTGCCCAACACTGATGCTAAGTATATGATTATGTACGAGGACCAATTATGCTTTGTGGCTGTCCTGTTGGTTGTTTGCTTAATCATTTTGTTAAACCTTGATAAAGTAGGTAACTGGTCTTTGGAGGGGGAAGCATAATAAAATGGCTCCTAAACTATAGAATAAGCATAATCTCTCATTATTAAAACACTGCATTCTGTCAGCAATGTAACGCGGCAGTAACGTATAGACACCTCGGCTTGTAACTATACTCTAATTACTATTTTGAAAATTATAACGTGTTAAATTCCATTACTAAAAAAGTAATCAAATTACAGTAACGTGTTACTAAGTAATGCATTACTGCCCAACACTGCCAGTGAGCAATAATAAGTTAAAATGTGTGCACATTGCTGTAACAGAGTAATGAATCTTTTAGGTGTGTTACCTCAGTAAAAAGCTCAAGAAGATGAATATAGTAGCGCTGTCCTCTGCAATGTCTGCGAAGAAGGCGGTAGATCACCCCCTCCAGGAGAAAAGCATCATTAATGGCATCCAGACCAATACCTTCCTGACAAATACATAAACAACATAGATTAGCACACAATCCACACAATTGATATACACTAGTGTTACATGATAGAAAATACATGATATAATTTTTTTTTTTAAAGATTCCACTTCAAAGAATAAAACTAAATTGATTGGAAATATTATTAGAACATAAACAAATTGATCAATATTCACTCCTTGTAATGCAATTTTACGGTATCATCAGCATATATCTCAAACCAATTATAAATCAATCAATCAATCAATTACCTTCTTATACCAACAGGGTTGACCCCTTCTTGTCAGGGATGCATCCATAATGTCATCAGACACCAAGAAAAAAGCCTGAAGCTGGGGAGAAAACAAAACATTTTGCACTGCACAATTTGTTTGTTTGCATTGCAATTGACCTTATGACAGATAAATGACTGACAGCCCAAATTGGCAATCAAATCGCTGCACTAAGAAGCCTTGCTGCCATTTTGTCCATCAAGCTGTAAAGTCTATCAAGGTGTTGTTATAGCAGATGTCATTCGGATACTAGGTATCCAGAGAGGCTAGTTAATAGTTTTGTTCATTCCTTTCCTGAAATCAGCCAGTAATCTTGAATAATGCATGAACTGGATCAGACTTGTCTTTCTTTATGACACTGACATTTTACACTTCTGAGATTCTGTGACTTTTTCTCCATTAAATAAAAAGGCTGTACAATTAAAGTGTGTGAGTTTGAGTTTTTTTTATTTATCACTAAATGCAATTTAAGTGGTTACATTAAAGTTTATATGGAAGTATGCTTCATTGTCAGAAAAATTAAGAAGGAAAATTTTGGTTTATTTCCTCTGTCAATCTCTATCTACAGTTAGTGTAAATGTATACTAAATGTTCATCCAAGATACTTGTGCCATGATAAACTTTGATAAACTGCATTTGAAGTAATTTACTCTGAAATCATCACACCAGCGAGCAAGCTGACTTGCATTGTCAGTAACCGTTGTCATTAACCGTTGTCATAAAGTCAATTAATAGTATCAATTTCACACACCAGTTCAATGCACCACCCAACCAAAAGGGCTCTGTGAACTTCATCAGGTGGCACTTCAGAAGGAGAGACCAGCTCCCGTAGCGAACCAAACACAGACAAGCCTCGGTTTCTCTTGCCTCCAGGAGCATTGTACCGAAGCACCTAAAGAAAAATTATACTTATTTCAAAATAAAAAAGAAAAGCCAAACTGACAAATAATAAAATAATTCAATAGAGTGTTGTTTCAGAATGGTTTCAGATCTGTTCTAGAGTTTTAAACTTCAAATGCTTTGTCTGCCATCTTAACTATTTGTCTTCATGCAGATTTCCTCACTCCAAACAGACTGGGAGAGGTTTACTCTACCTCTCTGAGTCTGTTGAGGGCATCAGTGAGAACTGGATCAGTGAAATCCTGCTCTGTAAGTTCAGACACCAACTTTTCAAACTCCAAATCAAAGAGCTGCGCATCTGACAACATCTTGCCTTTCTGCTGGACACCGTTACTGCACCTGCTGTCACCCTGAAGTGATGGAGCACAGAAACATAGTGTGATGACAGAGACATAAATCAGAAACAGGCAAACATATGACATAGGGATTACTGTATCACTTGGAAAATATGGAAATAATATGCTGTCCTAAATTGAAAATACACACTGTGCATGCATAAAAATCTGCAGACAACTTAAACGTAGCGCTTTGATAACTGGGTTAAATCTGTAGTAAAAGACTGATTTAGCAAGCTTGCTATTATATGACAGCTTTTATAAGGAAGAAATATTATATCAAATTTTAGGAAATAACAGGTGGAATATTACTTAGCGCAATCACACATAAGCAATGTAAACATGGAAAACATGATCGCATAAACTTTGCTAGCTTCGCTAAGAGAGCTGCATTAACATTATTAACATAATATTTGAGATAAACCGGATCATAAAACACTTTTATCTAGAAAGAGGTTTACGTTGACTTACCATCACGAATCTGTCCTTGCTCAGACTACTGTCACACACAATTCTGTGAGCTTTTATTTCACCTGCAGTATGAAAAGTCAAGACGGTCCATAAGATCGAAGGCGTACCTCATATTGTAGTTTTTTGTAAATTTGTTTCAGTCTGAAGGCTTCATTTTAAACTTCAAGTACCAAAATGCTTTGCGCATGATCTGTTGGGGCGTGTACACAAAAGCTCATATGACATCACGGACGTCCATTGGTTGCAGTAATCGAACGAGGATGGGCTCCAGAGAAATCAGCCAATGAGAGGAGACTATCCACGACGCAAAGGGTGGAGTGAACGCAAAGGAACCTATCAGATTTGGCAAACTCTAATAGCATGATCTACTCCAGTTTATGTATATGACAGATTGACAATAAACAGTTATTTCTTCACTGTTGGACCCCAAAATATTAGTTACTTCGCATGGTTGTAGTAGCTTTAAACACAGTTCTAAACTGCTTTTGGACAGTTTTGTAGGAAGGACTGGTTTGCACAAAGCCTGTGTGTGTGTGTGTGTGTGTGTGTGTGTGTGTGTGTGTGTGTGTGTGTGCGCGCGCGCATGTTTGTGTGAGAAAGGAG